GGTGTGTGCCACCAGGACAGGGCCGCGCGGCAGAGAGCCGCCCGCCGGGGCACTGTGCAGAAACCGGCCGGGAGGAGCCGCAGGTGAAATGGAAAATGCCCTGTCCACCGCTGCGACCACCACGGCCATTTCTTCATCTTCAGCTGCTCCAGTCTCCATCACGGACCCCCGTCCGCAGCCCTCCTGCCGGTCCCCACATGCCGGGTGGATGCCCGTGACTGCACGGATGGGGGAAAGCCTGGAAAGGCTGGAGGTTCCTCACCATGGATGTCAGCGGGGTCTGGGATCAAGCACACCCGGATTAAGGGTGTGCAGGCAAAACTGGCACCTGCTCGGCTCATCTGCCGCCCGCCTCTCCTATTACTTTATAAACGCCTGCAATCCTTTGCAAACGCACTTATTCACATCAGGCAGGGTTATAAATTACACTGCTGCCTGCTACGTGCAGGCTAAAAGGGATCGTCTCCTGATGCCTCGGCTTTAGACTCTGAGCAAGACAAAGTCTGTTCATTACTCTTACAGCTAATAATGGAGTTAAGTGCAGCGAATTAGCCGTTTCCCCTATTTCACTGTATTCAACAAGTCTCTTAAGGAAGTGTTACTATTATTACTATTTTTTTAACTGCTCGGAGGAAGGTCATCAAGATCGCATTAATCAGGCATATTACCAAGCCAAGGCATAGACCGAGGTGAGCAAATTCACAGTGACAGTCATTAAACCTACCACCCCATTTTATTTCGCCTGTGCAACCCCCGTGCACGTGTTGCCAGCTCCAGCCGAGCATGCTGCCTGGCACTCGCCACCGAATCGTGATTTATTGGAAAGCAGCTGCTACTCGCTCTGACAACAGAGGGATAAACAAATATTTACTGAGCGTTAATGCCGATCTGATTGGGCAGCAAATTGGGAAGGGGTTTTATGAGACCCTCATTGCTCGGGAGCCCCTCGTCCCGGTACACACCGGTGCCCGCTGGCATTTCACAGCCAGCCTGACCGCTCGTGGGGAAACCACCTGGCGTGTAAGAAGCGTGGCACATCCATAAGAGCTCCTCGGGGCTTCTCCTGGACTCCCTTATCAAGTTGAATAGTCAGATTTTTAATTTACAAGGCTCTTAAGTACAAAAAGCAAATGCATGGAGAGAAACCCATCACCTCAGGCATGATGATAGCTGGGATAAAATTTTATACAGGCTATCAAATTTTACATGTTTCTGCCATAAGCCAGTAACTGCTCTCTGGCCTTGGAGTGAGGCAGTGGGAACGCACTGGCAGCTGCCTGGTCTGGCGGCTGGCAGGGACGCGATGGGCTCGGGGTGGCCGATCCGCTGTACGAGCCCGTCCTTCAGCATCTCCCCAACACTGCTGCCGGGACCAGAGGCAGCACCCGGGAGCTGGGTGAGATGCACCCGTCTGAGCCCCTCCAGCTCCAGAGCTGCTGCGGGCTCATCTTGTCCCCATCGACACAGCCAAAGAGGAAAGTAATCAGGAGCCTTAACTGGGAAGCAAATGCTGAGCTCCTGTTGCCCACGCGCAGGCACGTCCCCTGCAGACCCTGTGCCCTGCCCGGGTCCCGCAGGGGGATGTCCGTAACAGAGGTGACAATAACCAACAGACTCGGTGGGGCAGTCACCAACCTCCGTTAAGACATTTGGCATTTGTGCTGGTTACGATGCCAAGGGGAAAGATGCCCAGGTACGGCTGGCAGCGCTCAGCAAACCCATCAGCAGTGATGTGAGCTCGTCGCTCCTCATCAGGACATTTCATAGCATCCAGTACGGAAAATGCTAAAACACAAATGCACCTGAGGTGGCAGCTGCGGGGTTTGGCCAAGAACATTCCTCACCCTCAACGTCCCCAGCCGGCAGCAGCAGGGATGGGAGCTGAGCCTGCATCTCCCCTGGGGCCCCGATGCTCGCGGGGACCGCCCAGCCCGAGGGGCAGGGAGGGCGGCCGGGGGGGCTTTGCACCGAAGCCGGTGCGCGTTCACCAGCCGCACTCGCTGGCAGGAGAAGGGAGCAGGGAGGCGAGCGGGTGACCACAGACCTCGCTGCAGGGACCACGAGCACTGGGGAGCAAGCAGGAGAATTTATGGGTGTTGGCTCAGCCAGCATGATGCCTTAGGAGCAGGCAGCCATAAATGCAGAGTTTCGTAAGCATAGCTTTAACATGTGTTAAAATTAATAATTTCCAAAGCCAGACTTAGCAAATAATTTATCCGTGTCAGGGCATAAATCAGCTGCCACAACTACTCACAACACTGCACACACAAGCTAATTGTGCCTTCTTCTTATTAAAAATGCCCAGGAAACACTAGGAACTGGCCTTCAGCTCCGTCCTGAGCGCTGGGCACCCCATTCATCAGAGTCCCTGAGGATGAAGCACATGGAGGAGAGGGAGACTTCAGGGAGCACGATTCCTCTCCCAGACATTCGCCTCCGTACCAAAGAAACAAACAGCAATATAAATCTCTGTCGCCAGACAGATGGTTTGCTGATCTATAGCGTTGCAGCCCACCTCGAGACTATGAATATAAACGCTGATGGATAAGAGAACTGAATGATTAGAAGAGTTCTAACTTTTTATGACAAAGTAGCCCATGCATTCATCCATCATAACGGCCGCAGGAAGAAGAAACACTTGGAAAGCAACTGAAGCCGGTCTTGCGGGGGAAAGAGAGTATTTATCACTGCAAAGAGATGAAGAAATAAAAGCATGTCGAAAGAACGTGTCCCTGTGCAGAAAACCTGCCCTCGCTGCTTTCTGTGCTGAGCCCCGGAGCTGCATGGGGCCCTGCCGCCGCGGCCCTGCCGCTGCCCCGCTGAGCCCCGGCAGCCCCCGCGGGGTGACCGTGCCACGGGGCTTCTGTCTGGAGGAGGAGGAGGGAGGGCAGAGGAAGGGCTCGGCGTGACGGGGACCGGGACAGCACCCCGGTCCGACCGCCCGCTCCAGCGCCGGCACCCGCTCTGCAGCGCCAGGTCAACCCAGCACCCCAGAGCCGACCCACAGCTGAACTGGTGATGGCTTTTACCAAGCAGCAGCAACCACCAGAAAGTATCAAAGCTCCTACTCCATTTCCAGCTGAGGGAAGGAGATTATTTCATCTAAAACGTACCCTTTAATTTTGTTGTCAAGAAGTTAACTTCAAATAAAAATCAAGCTAAACTCCGACTGCATTACCGCCCCGAATCACAAACCCCAACGGGCTCTGATTTCACAGCATCTCAGCCAAGCTGGTCCATTTAAACCGCCCCCATCCCTGCCACCGCAGCCGGGCATCCCTCCCGCCGGCCGGGCAGCGTGATGCCAGCCCAGCCCGGGCAGCACCGAGGGGCGCAGGCAGCGGCGTGCTCTGCGGGAAGGGAGGAGGCAGCACCCCGCTCCCCCTCCTCGCCCCGGCTGAACCTCCCTGGGCCGCGCAGATAATCATCGCAGTACAGGTTTAGCTACAAGCCCTCTGCTTAGAAGGGTAATTACCGCTATTATGCACTTCATAATGCCTAAGCAATTTCATTTTGTTCGCTCGGTTATTTATTGTACTTTATTAATCTAAGATTAGAGGCAATTTGTTCTAAGATGATGAGCTCCTAAAAAAAAGACACAATAGTTTGTTTGGAAAAGTGCAGGATGCAAGACCAGGATGAGCACAGCCCAGCTCACCAGTATTAAAATAGACGCCAAGGAGCAGAGCCCAGCTCCATACTTGTACCTTCCCCAGAGAGCTGGGGATAAACACTTAAAGACAAGTAAACCATGAAAAATAGCAACCCACGTGCAGCCCCACGCCGGGGCAAACCCGCACAGGCAGGGACGGGGGGACAGAGACGTACCCCCGAGCTCTGCGGCCCCAGGAGACTTACATGGGCAGTCGGGCGCAGGCGGCTCCCCTCCGGTCCCCCTGCATGTGACAGCTGCCGGGCACGGCCTGAAAACTGAGACGGCTCCAAAATCCACCGGCCAACCAAGGGAGCGAGCCGCCACCCCTGCGCCAGGACACTGCCCAGAGCCTCCCTGCTGCTTCCTAAAGAAGGGCTTAGGTGCCCAGGCGCTTTTGTTCTAGTTCATAAAAGAGACTTTTTGCCATGAGAAGCGTATCTCCAAATAAATATGGCTCTTGAAAGACAAGAAAAAATCTCAGCATCTCTCCACACCTCCAATCCTTGCTCTCACACTTCAGCTGGGCGGGAAACACCATTCTTGTTCCAGGAAAATTCTCAAGAAACTTTTCCCATCATGTAGCAGGATGCCAAACAAGACTCTTCAGGCATTTTGGGGGAAAAAAAGCCCAAAATCAAACCAAAATCTCTGCAGTCTGGTGGCTGCCAACACCCACCTCTGCCAAGACAGCGTAGTCTCAAATGAGACCCCGCTTCCTCGCCCCACTCTGGCTGGGCCCGGAGGACGGCTCTGCATCCTCCCTGCAAAACCTCACAGGTCAAATACCTAAGAAACGTGGCTGTGGCATGCAGTAGCTGAGATTAAAGAACTGTGCTGATGGCCCAGGTGGGCTCACCGGGGATGGGCTGTGGTACCAGCTGCAGCCCTGAGCAGAGGAAGGTGAGGAGCAGCGTTGGGAGTGCAGGTCTGCAACGTTTCTGCTCTTGGCATCCTACGGTGCAAGGAACAGCAGAGGATATTGTGCAAAAGGCAGCGTGCTGCTCAGCAAGGCACCGCACGGCGGCCGGGCTGCCTCCGCTCCTTCGCTCAGCCACCGGCCCAGCACAGCGGGCGGCCGGTGCCAGCGGAGCCCACGCCAGGGGAAGCTGAGCAGGGGCCAAAGTCCTTCCCAAATAAGCCACTGAGCCAGCCTGCTTGAGGTTCAGATACCTGCTGATGGCAGCCACACAAACTGCCCAGACAGACACACCTCCAGCAGCTGCCAGCCCTCCTGATCTCCTTCGGAGATGCTCTTTCCTTTTTTCCACTGTTTTCTTGATGGTAACAGGCATTTGGCTACAAAAGCTACAGTAAGACGGATGACATTGAGTGAGCTTTGCGTACTGAACACCACCTCTGTGGTATATTCATTTGCCATCCTCCGTCTCTCCCGAGGCGGGCAGAGGATGGGGGCAGGTATGGCCCTTCCCACCTTTGCTCCCTACTCGCTGGTGCGACGAGCTGCTCCCAGCGCACGGCTTTGAGATGGAAAGGGGGAATAGCTGTACGGCTGTGTGCGTCTAGAAAACCTGGGCGCCTGCCAAAGTGAGAAACAGGGAACAGGCTGCCCCCACGCTCAATAAGCAGTAATTGAACAATTACTCAAAGGAGGAAGGTTGTGGGTTTCAACAAGGCTGTACCGGCTCAGTGCCGGCGAGCGTGCAAGAAAATGGCTTCAAAACCGCACAGGGTTGCATGGTTTGGGGGGCATCTCCTGCCGCAGCCCCGCTGTCCCCTGCATCCCCCCGTGCACCTGGCAGCCATGCGGGGACCAGCCCACAACAGGGGCTCTGCAAAATCTGCCTCCTGATTTGCTTCACGGCATTTTTTGCAAACTTCAGGCTCAGCTGGCAGCCCGCGGTGGCCCAGGCTGTGGTGCTGGCAGGGCAGCGGCAGCGGCAGCGTGCTGCGCCATGTCCCTCATCAGCCGGGGAGATGCGTGGGTTCGGCCCTCCTGTGGAGAAGCCAGGCAGGATTGATGCTGTGCTGCAAGCCGAATGCGGCTGGACACCCGGCTGCTCCCCCACCGAGCCGGGTAGCGCCGCCAGCACGCTCGCCAGCGCCACAGCCGGGAGCTTTCCTCCATTAATAGCTCAGCTTCCCCAGGGGTTTATCAAACACCCCCAAAGACCCCTCGCTGCGGCAGCTTCTCCAATAAAACTCTGGCGCATTTTTAAAGAAAGCACAAAGCAACCAGAGAGGGACTGGGAGAGGGGGCATCGCTCGCCTCTCCCCGCTTTGGGCGGCAGAGCCCCCCTGGCCAACGCTGCGACCCACGGAGGGAAGGGGAGAGGGGAGCCCTGCCTCAGGGCGAAGGGCTGGCACCAGGAGGGCAGGTTTCAGTGCCTGGGAGGTACATGAGAGCACCTGGGAGACCAGTGGGAGGGTCTGCATAGTCCAAAAGGCCAAGTATTGCAAACAGGAAACCTGCCCATTTTCTACGAGTCACTCTTGTCCCCCACCCCTCAGTAGGTGCAATACTGAAGGCACTTTCCCCTTGTTCTGCAGAGTCCCAGCCAATGCCCATGGATCGTGGCACTGGCCACCCCGAGGCACTCAGCAGGTCCCAAATCAGCCTCTCCCAGGCACTGTTGCAGCTCCCATGGCACTGTCTCAGCTCCCATGGCACCGTTGCAGCCCCCATGGCTCCACTGCAGCCCCCATGGCACCGTCACAGCCCCCATGGCACTGTCGCAGCCCCCATGGCACTGTCGCAGCCCCCACGGCACCATCACAGCTCCCATGGCACTGTCACAGCTCCCACGGCACCACGGCCGCCACCCCGGCACACTTACAGCTCCCG